TGATCATATTATTATATCTATCTATCTATACATACAGTGGTACCTCGCAAGACGATTACCCCTCAAAACGACGAATCTGCATAACGAGGTTTTGCGACTGCCATTTTGCTTCGCAAAACAGTGATTCCTATGGGGCAATTTCGCTGGACGATGATTTGGTCCGTGCTTTGTGGACCGTTTTTTCGAAAGACGACAATCTTTACAACTGATTGTCAGCTTTGCAAAATGGCTTCCCTAGGGGCAATCTTTGCAAAATGTTTGTTTTTGGGCCCGTCTTTCACAAAACAGCGATTTAAAACAGCTGATCGGCGCTTTGCAATGCGACTTCCCTATGGGCAATCTTCACTGGACGACGACGATTTTTCCCCATTGGAACGCATTAATCGGGTTTCAATGCATTCCAATGTGGAAACACTTTTCGCAAGATGATGTTTTCACAAGACAACGATTTCAATGGCATGAATTAACATCGCCAACCTAGCCTCATATGGGGCAGAGCTCCTATGCTTGGGAGAAGCCTCTCATAATGCCCTCACTTGTTTCTTAACCAAACATTCCTAGGAAGGTGGCGGGACCAAAGAGGGACCACCCATCAATGGGAGATCTCCAGTGGTAGAGAGGATTGAGCAGTGGCTTCCTTCCCAACAATTTCTCACCTTGGGGTAATCGAACAGAGGCTTCAGTAGAAGTAACTGGTGTTGGTGGTGTCTTCTCTTCTGCCTTTGCTGTCTTCTTTCCTGTTGTGCAGTCTGAACCCATAAAAAGAGCAAGTCAGTAACAAAAACAAATAATGGCTGAAATTCTGTATGTGTAGTTGTTATGTAAAATTGCCCCTATGCAAATTTACTGGTTATTACAATGAGGCAACAAGAAATCATGCAATTCAGATGCACAGTCAGTCTAGAATTCTCACTGTGAATGTTGTGCAATGCACAGGTGGAAGTCCTTTGTGGACAGGTATTCTATCTACTGTGGGCATAAGGTCTATTGTATCAAACAGTATCACTACATTTGCAGGCAGATCAGAGATCTTTCACTTAATCTTTGGGGATCCCCACTTGCCCTTTTCCTCACAACTAAAATAACTAAGCTCATCCAGAAGGGTCTACAAATGCAGAATTTGTAGAAGGGTTTTCAAAATTATGGGGAAAATCCCTGACACTTTACTGTCAGATACCAGAAAGGATTAAAGAACACTGCACCCTTCCAATGTCTGAGTGAAAATGTTCAGAACATGCTTGTTTCCTCACTGATGCCTACTGTTAATAATGGCCATTTCCTCAATTGTTTTACAATAGTTATCAGGACAAATCCTTCTTTGTGGTTTTACAGTTCTGGAACATAACACCGACAGATTTATGCTTCTTCTCCACTAGTCAATAATTCAGCATTAAAAGTCTTTATTATATGACTACTTCTGACTAAACTGCAAATAAATGTTGAAGAACAGCTCAATATAATTTTCCTTTTTCTTTGGTAATCTCTTCATAACATTGTCTTGTACTTTACTATTCCTGTAATGTACATTCCTTTTGATGGCTCCTAAAAAATAGCTGATAAATGCTATTAATAAACTGAAAATTAACTACTGTATTTTTCGGTTTATAAGATGCCCTGATGTATAAGACAATCCCCACTTTTCTAACTCCAAATTAGAAAATTTGATCACTGCTTTCCCTGATGCTTCCTAAGCCCCACGGGGATTAGCAAAAGGAGGGGGAAAGCAGTGGTCAAAGGGCTGCAGGATCACTTTGACCACTGTTTTCCCCACCACTTCCTAGCCCATGGGGCTTAGCAAATGGAAGGGGAAAGCAGGGATCAAAATGTGGCAGGATCACTTTGATCCGTTCCCTCCTCCACTTGTTTTTGTTCTCTATCCAGTTTATTTCTGTGTATAAGGCAACCCTCAATTTTTAGTCTAAAGATTTTAGACAAAAGTATCATCTTATACATGGAAAAAATACAGTATTTTATTACACCCATACTAAACTTACAGTAGATAAGGAAAGCTGAAGTAAAAAATATTCTGTAGTACAAATAAGAAAGCTATACAGTGTACTTATGGAAAGCATACAACATACTCCATTATCACACTGTTATTTTTCACACCCATTTACTTTCCATATTATTTACCTTCAATGAGAGCAGCTATCTGTTGGCTTTTCTGAGATGGAAGGTCTCTCACAATATCCAAAGCAGTCAGGCCTCTATTATCTTTTATATTCACATCAATGCCTTTAAGGAGTTACAGAAATATTTATACATACATAAACACTTGGTTTTATAAGCAAAGAAGAAGAGAAACGGCATAAACCAAACCCTGAAATTGCTACTGATCTGTGTGTCTCTGCTTTGATTTTTCACTGCACATCAATCAGGAAACCTGATGTGCAATCAGGAATCAAGCAGGGACTTGTTAATTAGAGAATTTGCCACTGCAAGATACACCATTGCTCTTCAGCCAGTGTAACTACACAAGAGGATTTTGGCTATATCTTGTCATTATTGCACTACTGCATACAATCATCATTAAGGCCATCCAAGACTCTGCAAGCCACTTGAAGGCCTTTAATTCCCCATAACGTGTTGGAATTTTGATATTATTAATATTTTAATAGGTTAGAAATATATAGTTAAAATACTACCATTTTATTGCAGTTGTTTATTCTTAGCTAAATAGAGATACATTTGTAGAAAATGTGGCATGCAAAATATATTAAGCATATAAACTAATATAACTAATACCTCTTCACTGTAGTTAAAGTTGGATGTAAACATAAAACTCAGCTATGGTGAAAGCAAAGCCTAACAAGTCAGCTCAAAATGATAAAATTCCCTTCTTTAGGCATTTACTAAAGTCCAACTCTTTATGGAAAAACTGCAAGACCATTCTGTTTCACCCCTTTTCCTGAAGAGGAGCTGAGCTGTGTTTGGGAGGACATTTTATTTGGTGAGGTATTTTCTTCTATGCTGACCTTTGTTCTCCCTGGCCACATGGTCTCAGGGGTGAGGTTTTGACTGTAAATGTGGGCTGGCAGAAGCTCTAAGCCCTTTTCCTGAAGAGCAGCTGAGGCAGGAGGTGAGCTGTATTTGGGAAGACATTTTATTTGGTGAGGTATTTTCTCCTAGGCTGACCTTTGTTCTGACCGCATGGTCTCAGGGGGTGGGGATTTGGCTTTAAATGTGGGCTAGCAGAAGCTCTAAGCCCTTTTCCTGAAGAGGAGCTGAGGCAGGAGGTGAAGTGTATTTGGGAGGACATTTTATTTGGTGAGCTATTTTCTCCTAGGCTGACCTTTGTTATCTCCGACTGAATGGTCTGAGGGGGTGGGGTTTTGGCTTTAAATGTGTGCTGGGAGAAGCTCTAAGCCCTTTTCTATTTTTGACTCTAATTTGGTAAATAGTAAAGCGAAATAGCATCGAATACACCTAGGGGCCAGGGAAGTTTTAGGGGTAGGATCAGACTTCTTCCCTTTTTTAATTCACTGACCAATCAGTCAAGATGGAGAGTGCAGGATCTGTTGCACTTGCAACACCTGTGAAATATTTGTTTTCTTGCCAATGAGGAGCCTAGGTAGAAATGCTCTGTTAATTGGTGGTCTTCTTAGAAGACAAGGTCTGGCAGCTGGAGGCCTGTGTTCTAATCTCCACGTTCTTAGGGAGCAAGCCGGGTTGCTGGGACTCATTAGCCTTTGAAGGAAGCCCGTCTAGGAGAAGGAAAACTAAAATTTCAAACCTCAACGGCCTTGTGGCTGTATCCACTGATGGATAAGGCTTCAGGAGTTAACCTCGAGGCAAAATCCGGAGCCAGAATCCCGGAGGCAGTTTGTGTCATTCTGGCAACTCCTGTGACATTGCACGAACCAGTCGTGTTGGCTCTTGCCTTTCCATTGGACTATTTCAGCGACGTGGAGAGGGGGGAGTTGCTGCTTGGGTAACAGACTATCTTCCATATTATTTTACCCAGGCTTTGTTCTCTGGAGTGGTCACTCCAGCTTCACATACAGCGTCGAAACAACACGGGAAGTAGCAGTTACCAGTCTTTGCTCAATTGGCGTACAGCATGACACGAGGGGCTTCTTGTGATGGTGGGAGAGGTCATTGCACCTCACTAGGTAGCTACTGGCCGCCTTGAGCTAGGCAGTCCCCAGCCAGTAAGGTGCTACCTCGCCATTATCTGTTAACCTCATGGGGTGTGTGGGGTTTAGGGTGAAAACCGACAAGCAGATTGATAACCCTGCACCATGCAACAATCATAAGAAAACTTTTGCCCTAAAGTTGAGCACTTGGAATGTATGGACAATGACCCCTGGCTTTTCTGACAACCTGCAGGAAATAGATGATGTGCTCAAAACAACTGTCATTGAGTTGTTAAATTTGTTAGGATTTAGACAGAAGGGTTTGTCTAGCTGCTCTCACCTCCAGTGCCTCTCATATTTCCAGAATTACACACGTTGGAAGCAATAATTGTATTCCTTCCAAACAGCACCATTTCACTCACATTTCAACATTAAAGATTATTTCATTCACATTCTTACTCAAATTTCAGACAGATAGCAGTCAGTATCGAAGTGCTGAATTCTACATGTTGCCATTGTTCTTCAAAGATTCATTCTGTCAGACTGCCTAGAGAAACATGCATTACAGGACTCTGCGCTGTCATCCAAATATCATACTAGATGATGATTACTGTCTGTAGTGAATCATATTAATACAGATCTATGTGAAGAGTGGAGTTGGTTCTTCATACCATTTTAATTGGTAGTGGCAGCAATTATCTAACTGGCAGACTCAAAGGAAAAGGAATGCTTGCTGGAGTTTTGCTGTTATTGTGATCTTTGTGTCAGCAATACATTCTTTGATACGAAGCATCAACACAGAGTTTCCTGGAGACATCCAAGATAAAAGCATTGGCATCAATTTAATTTGATCCTCACTAGATGTTCTAGCCTTCCTAGTATTACGATCACACGCAGTTACCAGAGTGCTGATTGCGATAGTGGTCACTCCCTGGTGTATAGTAGAGTAAAACTGTGAGCAAAGAGATTGTATCACAAGAAAAAGGAAGACCTCATATTGACATCAGCAAGACTTGCAATCAAAAAAAGTGGAGGAATTTGCCTAAGCGCTTGAGGAAACCCTTCCGGGCCCAGCTGATGCAAATGCACCTGAACAATAGGAACATTTCAAGAATGCTGTTTATAACACTGTCTTGTCCACATTTGGCAAGAAGACCAAAAAGATGGCAGACTGGTTCGAAGCCCATCCGGAGGAGTTGATGCCAGCCATTGAAGATAAGAGGAGAGCTCTAGCAGCATACAAAGCCTGTCCTAGTGAGTATAACTTGCAGGCTCTTCGAGCTGCTCGTAGCCAAGTTCAACAGGCTGCCATGAGATGTTCCAATGATTATTGGCTTCAGCTCTGCTCTCAGATACAGATAGCAGTGGACACAGGTAACATCAAGGGTATGTATGATGGTATCAAGCAGGCTTTAGGTCCAATACAGAAGAAATCTGCTCCCTTAAAGTCTGATACAGGCATGATCATCCAGGACCGAGCACAGCAAATGGAATGCTGGGTGCAGCACTACTCTGAGCTATATTCCAGAGAGAATGCAGTAAAAACAAAGAGGCATTAAATAACATCGAGTGCCAGCCTATCTTGGAGAGCTAGACAGCGAACCAACTTTAGCAGAAATAAAATCAGCCTTCGATTCCCTCGCCTCTGGCAAGGCACCTGGGAAGGATAACATCCCTGCTGAAGTGCTGTATAGAAATCATCACCACCGAGCTATATGAAATCTTTTGTCTTTGCTGGAGAGAAGGTGGAGTACCATAGGACATGGAGGGCACAAACATCATCACACTGTATAAGAACAAAGGAGACGGGGCGACTGCAATAACTACCGTGGTATCTCTCTTCTCAGCATTGTAGGGAAGCTGCTTGCCCATATTGTGCTGAAGAGACTCCAGGTGCTTGCAGACAGAGTTTATCCAGAATCACAGTGTGGATTTTGAGCTAATAGACCCACCACTGACATGGTATTCCTCCTCAGACAGTTGCAGGAGAAATGTGTCTCTGCTTTTCACGATGCTGTCCAGATTTGTCATCGCTTTCCTCCCAAGAAGCAGGCGTCTTTTAATTTCAGGGCTGCTGTCTCCGTCTGCAGTGATCATGGAGCCCAGGAAGATAAAATTTGACACTGCCTCCATATCTTCCCCTTCTATTTGCCAGGAGGTGATGGGACCAGTGGCCATGATCTTAGTTTTTTTGATGTTGAGTTTCAGACCGTTTTTTGCACTTTCCTCTTTCACTCTCATTACAAGGTTCTTTAATTCCTCCTCACTTTCTGCCATCAGAGTGGTATCATCTGCATATCGGAGGTTGTTGATATTTCTTCCGGCAATCTTAATTCCGGCTTGGGTTTCTTCCAGTCCAGCCTTCCGCATGATGTATTCTGCATATAAGTTAAATAAGCTGGGGGACAATATACAGCCTTGCCGTATTCCTTTCCCAATTTTGAACCACTCAGTTGTTCCATGACCAGTTCTAACTGTTGCTTCCTGTCCCACATATAGGTTTCTTAGGAGATGGATAAGGTGGTGAGGCACTCCCATTTCTTTAAGGACTTGCCATAGTTTGCTGTGGTCCACACAGTCAAAGGTTTTCGCATAGTCAATGAAGCAGAAGTAGATATTTTTCTGGAACTCTCTGGCTTTCTCCATAATCCAGCGCAAGTTAGCAATTTGGTCTCGAGTTCCTCTGCCTCTTCGGAATCCCGCTTGTACTTCTGGGAGTTCTCGGTCCACATACTGCTGAAGCCTACCTTGGAGGATTTTGAGCATAACCTTGCTAGCGTGCTAAATGAGTGCAATTGTACGGTAGTTGGAGCATTCTTTGGCACTGCCTTTCTTTGGGATTGGGATGTAGACTGATCTTTTCGAATCCTCTGGCCACTGTTGAGTTTTCCAAACTTGCTGGCATATTGAATGTAGCACCTTAACAGCATCATCTTTCAAGATTTTAAATAGTTCAACTGGAATGCCATCACCTCCACTGGCCTTGTTGGAGCAAATATAGATTCCTGAAACAGCGACATCTACATTGGCTTGGGCATGCAGTGAGAATGGCTGATGGTCGGATTCCAAAAGATCTCCTGTTTGGAGAATTAGTGCAGGGAAATCGCCCCAGAGGGAGACCACAGCTGCGATACAAGGATATCTGCAAGCGGGATCTGAAGGCCTTAGGAATGGACCTCAACAGATAGGAAACCTTGACATCTGAACGTTCAACTGAAGGCAGGCAGTGCAGCATGGCCTCTCCCATTTTGAAGAGACACTTGTCCAGAAGGCCGAGGCAGAAAGGCAGTCCCGAAACCAGCAAAATCAGGGAGCTGGACAGGGGACAGATTGTATTTGTCTTTAGTGTAGAAGGGATTGTCACTCTCAAATTGGCCTTCTCAGCCACACTAGATGCTGTTCCAAGTCCTCCATACTGAGCACGTTACCATAGTCTCTCGAGACTGAAGGATGTCTAATCAGTTCTGCTTCAATTGATATATATTTCCTTTTATACATTAAGATGTGTCTCCAGTTTTCATTAGCTTTCAATAGCTGTCGTTAACAATAAATATCTTGTAGAACACTATGCTACTTGGCATAAGCTTTGCAGTAGCTGTAGCCCACTTTAATGATCTGTTAATGAATTTACCCTCTGGCAATTTATTTACAATGACCAGAATCCTATTTTGGATTTATGCTGTCATAAATGTTATCTACCTAAATTGCAGGGAGAAATTGCCATAAGCGAGTTGCTTGTTAAGTTTCTAGTCACGTTCTTGAAACATGACAAGGAATGTGATCAGTGGCAACTTGCTAATTAGAGACAAATCATCTTAGTACTTTACACAATTACATTTACACAAGTGCAAATCCCCAGGAGGAATCTGACTAAAGTTATCTTTTTAATCCTGAAAAACTCACCAAGCACAGCATGGGGCAGAAGTTAAAGAAAGTCTGAAGGCAGTGAGGAGACTTCAACATATTATTTACTCGAGAGACTTTAACTCAACTACCTAAACAACAATTATTTTATTTCTTCCCAGGAGGTATGCTGAGGCAGTTTGATGTTTACAACAGAAGAAAGTGTGTCTAAAAAGTTCAAAAGGATTCTCACCTGAATCTAACAAAATCTGGACCACATCTGTTTTGCCAAACAAAGCAGCTTCATGCAGAGCGCTGCCTTTTTCTGTCTGTAAGTCAAAAAACAGAGTAAGCGCAAACTAAGAAAGGAGTCAGAAAACATCTATGCAGCACATACACAAGGACTCATTTTTTATATGGAGACAACCTGCTGTGGTTGCTCTACTACTGACAAGCTTCTTTACCTGGACTGAAATTCTAGTCTTTAAGGAAGCTTTTTTAAAATGAAGAGTGATCATACTGAACCACACAAAATTAGAAAAAAACAATACCTCTAATCTGAACAAAGAAACTTGTATATCTCAGTGAGCAATACAGTTACAACACAGAATTGGAAATGCTATAGTTAGCTGAACATGCAATATTTTAAATATATGTTACAGAAGCTTATAAAAATGATACAGCTTCTAGAAGTATGAAATGAATATTGAAGGATACAAGCTTGGATTTATATTGTAGTCTGAGGAACGCATTTTTTAGATCCTTGAGACTCCAAAGGATATATAAAATGCTTGGGTTTGTGATCAAACGTCAGATATTAAAGAAAATTAAGTAATTTTTATGAAAAATGTGGTAGTGATATCAGCGTTAATGTTGTGATTGGCACTATTGGATACTTGCTGAAGAACACTGTACAATAAAGAGCTTCCTGTCAAACACTAGAGCCCTCTGGGCCTTTTACATGCTAATGTTGCTTCTTCACTTGCTTCCTTCAAGCAACCACCAAGAAAGGGAGTGAGTTAAAGAACAATAACTTGGAGGACTTGGTTCTAGGGTATCTGAAGGCTCCCATTTTCCCAGAAGTTCCCCGAGGTGCACCTGGTGAGAACATCTCCATAACGGCTGCTGTCATGCTGTGGAATTCCCTTCCACAAAATGCAAGGCTGGCCCTTTCCCTACAATCCTTCTGGTGGAAGGAAAACACCTTTCTTTCCAATAGGACTTTTAGTATGTAACTGACTGCCAAATAAGTACTTTTGTAATCTGAGTGCTACATGTTTTTAAAATATCCCTTTAAGCTGTTTGTAACTGTTTATACTCAGTAGTTTTAACATGTAACATGCTTTAATTGGTTTTAATATTCTAATTTATTGTATCTTAAATTGTCTGAACATTTCTCTTCTAAGTATTTTATAAGCTGTCTTGGGTTCCTTTAGCGGAGCAGGGCAGGATATAAATAAGAAGAGCAAATGAATAAAGGAGCACAAAGTTTGGAATCCCTTTTGTATTGGGGTGTGAAGGAGGGGCAAGCAGCTCTACGTCAACAATGATGGGAATAAGGCGGCAGGTGCACTAAACGAGGAGTGTGACAGAACATCTTGCCCATAGGTCCCCCAAGACCTGGAACCAGCATTGGATAAATTTAGTTAATTTCATAGGGAGTTTAAGCCATCAAAGTACCTCAGATGATAACTTTTTAAACAACCCAAGATATCTGGAACATTTTATTCAACATTAAATTCTCAAGTGAATAAAGAAACAAATACCTGATAATTATTATCCATGCCAGCTTCCAAGAGAACATGAACTACAGCTTTATGGCCATTTCTAGCTGCCAGATGTAAGGGGGTGTGTTTCTTAGTATTGCAGCTTAATAGATTGGGATGGGCATTGAGCAACATCTTCACCACTTCCAATCTCCCATAGAGTGCAGCCAAATCAAGAGGAGTCTCAAACTTGTTATTACGCATTGTAGGATCGGTCAACTCCTCCAGCAGAACCTTCACCACTTCTGTATGTCCATACTGAGCTGCGCAGTGGAGTGCAGTTTCATTGTCGTTATTCTGAGATTACATAAATTCAGAAAAAAAAACAATTAAGATTCAGAATGAGTTACAATGTTATCACCTCTTTAACACACAACTCTTATAGGCAGTTCAGACAAATGAAACTGTTAATTTACATTAACTTAAACCCAAACTCAAAACGCTTGCTTGCAGTTTACACTGTGCCACATGACAAAAACACATCCTCCATGTAAGAGCAATTGCATCAAGGTATCATAAGAAATCATATATACTGTAGTCACATACATATACATACATACATACACCACACAACTGATGTCAGCATTACAAAATATCTTATAAAGAGGTATAAACAAATGCATATTTCATTTTTCAGAAGAATATTTATGCTTCTGCAGTATTAATGTAATTGCTTTTCCCACTATAAACTTACCTTGTATTATCCCCCACTTCATAAACGCAGTGTATACCAACCTAGTTTTGTGTAGTCATCTAATGACAACAGTACCAAATCATATTTCAACAACAAATGTTATTGGTTCCATTGCTTCTATTTTTATTTGTAAAAGCTACAGACTTTCCCTCTTATTACTTGCACTGTTTGTTTTTTTAGCTCCTGGGATCCAAAGAACTGTGAAACTAGTTCTGTAAGCTTAAAGGACACTTGATATGTCTCTCAAGCAGCAGCCCCTCCATGCCACAAAATAGCTTTTTCTAAATAATGAGAAATTCCAAATACAGTTTGTGATATGAAAATCTAACGTTATGAACCAAAGTCAAAACATCCAGCAGGCTTAGTTAGACCTCTTGACAGAAGCCTATGAAGTTCTTTAGAGACTGTAAGCAAAACTCAGATGGATGTACAAAGTCAACTTAAACTAAGTGTTAAACACTTAAACTGTTCATGTTACCATAGCTTGCTGTTATGGATCAGTATGTGCATGCAACAAACTGTTGCTATCAGAGATATCTCATTTTTAATTATTTACAGTGGGGTCTTGACTTAAGAACGGCTCGAGTTAAGAACATTTTGACTTAAGAACCACTCTCTTAGGAAAATATTGACTTGACTTACATACCTAGATTTGAGTTAAGAACTGAAAAAAAACCCACGTGGGAGGCAGGGAAAGTGCAAAATTTGAACTTTCAGTTAACTGTTGGCCAGTGAAAAGGGTGCCTGTCTGCTTCCTCACTCCCCCCAGCGTTTAGAGAGTGGATTGGGAGACAGTCTTCAGACTGCCTGGTACTGTACTGCCTGGACTGTATTTTCCCTGCCTTCCCTGAACCTTTCTTGACCTAAGGAAAAAAGAAACAAAATATCCCCCTCTAGTGGTTGAAGGCAGAATAGCAGCTGCCCATTAGTTTCAATGGACGGAAAAGAGCAGATACGGATCAAATGGTTTTCAAGGCATTCCTATGGGAAATGCAGATTTGACCTGAGAACTTTTTGACTTGAGAACCGCCTTGCAATACGGATTAAGTTCTCAAGTCAAGACCCCACTGTATCTCTCTCTTTTGCACTGTATAAGCATAAAACAGTTCCATTTTTTTAAATCCTGTGTGCTAGATATATTAGGCTCTGGTAACTACATAAACTGTGCCATCAGCCACACAAAAATATGTGAAAATGGATGAAACAGAACAAAGCTTATAGCCAGAAGTGCATTTTTCAAAAGCATGATATGTGCATAGATTTGAAAAACATGGAAAAACACTACAGTTTGATTATGACATGGTAATGGCCCATGTCAAGCAATTGCTAAGGAAACACAGATTTACGGCAAAGGTGAATCTAGATGAGGTAATGCAACATTAATCTACAGGTAATAAAAGGAAATTCATAGTGCACAGAAATGCACATGCAATAAAGGAAATTAGCATATGGCTCAGAATGCATAAATAAAATTAGGTATTTAAGCACAAAATGCCAAAAAATCATACCTTTTGACTGGGTATTATATAAGAATTATATATCATATGACACAGTAGACATCATCAGGAAAATGAGTTAAGAGTTCCAGATTTGTCCTACTTGGATATTTTGTAGCCTTTAGTAATAGCACAGGTAGATGTAGTATCTCCAACTTAATCTATATCGTACTTTAAATATGAATATGGACTGAATGGACGGGGGAATAATAGAAGATAAATATGACTTAACATTGAAAGCTCTCAACTAAAGATGGGATATTTGTATTCGTCTCCCCAGGGATATTTGTATTCGTCTCCCCAACATCAGGGTCTTTTCCAGGGACTCTTCTCTTCTCATGAGATGGCCAAAGTATTGGAGCCTAAGCTTCAGGATCTGTCCTTCCAGTGAGCACTCAGGGTTGATTTCCTTCAAAATTGATAGGTTTGTTCTCCTTGCAGTCCAGGGGACTCTCAAGAGTCTCCTCCAGCAACACAATTCAAAAGCATCAATTCTTCAGCAGTCAGCCTTCCTTATGGTCCAGCTCTCACTTCCACACATCACAACTGGAAAAACCATAGCTTTGACTATGCAGACCTTTGTCACAAGGTGATGTCTCTGCTTTTTAAAATGCTGTCTAGGTTTGTCATCACTTTCCTCCCTAGAAGCAGGAATCTTTTAATGCTGTGGCTGCTGTCACCATCTGCAATGATCACGGCGCCTAAGAAAGTAAACTCTGTCACTGCCTCCATATCTTCCCTTTCTATTTGCGAGGAAGTGATGGGACCAGTGGCCATGATCTTAGTTTAAGAAATTGTTATGTTATGCTATTTTGAATGGATTGATAGATAACATAAAATATTTTGTAAAAGCTCCCATTAGATTTTAAGCCTGTACCTAAAGGCCATATTATATTCTTAGCTCCTGTAATACATATGAAGCTACTAGTAACTGACAAGTCACACCTGAACTTTGTCCAACTTCTGCAGAAATGATGAAACAACCATAAAAAAGCACAAGGGCTCAGACTTTCAGCTTATGTATTATTTAATATTTTAGCTAATTGATGCACAAATTTGTAGCATTATTCTGGTGATATTTAAAAGAAGCAAGCATCTTCTCAAGCACCTAAGGGCCATAAAGTACAAGAAAATGCCTGCCATACTTAGTACACGAACTAAGAAAATGGTGGCCAAACTTCCCTGTTGTTCCTTTTTAATTTAATATTTTAGCTAATTGATGCACAAATTTGTAGCATTATTCTGGTGATATTTAAAAGAAGCAAGCATCTTCTCAAGCACCTAAGGGCCATAAAGTACAAGAAAATGCCTGCCATACTTAGTACACGAACTAAGAAAATGGTGGCCATGTGTATCTCCCAATGGCCAGGTAAGCCAAAAAGATGTTCTCTTCCTCTGCCCTACCTCCTTTAAATGAAAGATTAAGGAATGCTTTCCATTTGTTTGTACCCTACCACATAATAATTATATGCTGCCATCAAGTAAATTCTGACATGCTAACCGATGTCAAGAATTCTCAAAAGTGATTTATCATTCCCTTCTTCTGGGAGCATCCTGGGACAGCAGCTTTCCCAAGGCCACACAGGCTGGCTCTACTCACAGCAGGCACAGTGGGAAATCAAACTCTCAACATCAGGCTCTGCAGCCACATACCTAAACCACTGAGTGATCACAAATACAATTAACTGAGAAAAATCAGCAGATACGCATTCAATCAGTGTGAACTGGAACATATACGGAATACAGTGTGCAACTGAAAACAATCTCTGAGTAAAGTGGACCCTCTACTTACGGAATTAATTGGAACAGTGGCTGCAGGTTGAAAAGTCTGTAGGTTGGGTCTCCATTGACCTATAATGCATTGAAAACCAATTAATGCCATAACCAGCCATTTTTGTTCCATTTTGGTTTTTTTTCTGGTCTGTAGGTCGATTCTCTGGCTGCAAGTCGAACCTAAATTTTGCAGCCAGAGAAGTCTGTAACTCGAAAAGTCTGTAAGTCAAGCCGTCTGTAAGTTAAGGGTCCACTGTACTGTGTTAAGAGTGAATAACATGTATTCAGAAAGAGCTAACACTGGGAATATTTTCTCAGCTGGTAACAATCTGTGCTGTAGTTTATATGTGTACAATGTGTAGCCTGCATGTAAACCGCCCAGAGAGTGCTGTAAGCAGTATATAAGCAGCACACTTTACATATGATCCCAAAATTATATATGTTGAAACAGCTGGAGGATAGAATATCAGTAGGAAATTTCAAGACTTGCAACTTACATAAATATAACATTAATGATTGCTATATCGGTGGAAAAATGCACCTAATTTCTTAACAATCAACATACAGTGGTGCCCCGCATGATGACGACCCCGTTAAAAGATGAATCCGCTGGTCGATGACTTTTGTTTCCTATGGGGGATTTTCGTTTGACGACAATTAGGTCCATGCTTTGCGAACTGTTTGTTCGCAAGACAATGATTTTTCCGGCTCCACAAAATGGCTGCCCTGTGTGTTTTCCGGACCCATGCTTTGCAGGGCAGCCATTTTAACAGCTGATCAGCGCTAGGAAAATGGCTTCCCTATGGGCAATCTTCGCTGGACGATGAGGTAATTTCCCCATAGGAATGCATTAATAGGTTTCAATGCATTCCAGTGGGGAAAATGTTTTCGCTTAACAGCGATTTCAGGAGAATAAATTATCGTTGTGGTGCGGGGCACCACTGTATTTCCCACTATCTAAAACTGTATGTATCTTAGATTTTTCTAATCATAAACCTTTGGGATGCTTTGAAATGTATATATGTACACATATCCATTTGTAGTACTCAGGGTTGGCTTTATAAGAACACCGAGATCAAAGATCTTTCCAGCTTTTATTTGTTATGAAGTTATTTTTTTAAAAAAAAACCCACAAAACCCAGGCACCTGTTGTTAGTCTGTGGAACTCCTTGCCACAGGATGTGGTGATGGCATCTAGCCTAGATGCCTTTAAAAGGGGATTGGACAGATTCCTAGAGGAAAAGTCCATTGCAGGTTACAAGCCATGATGGGGATGTATAATCTCCGGACTTAGAAAGAAGGTACCTCAAAACGCCAGATGCAGGG